CATCATTTAAATATTTTGAATACCATTTTATCCATTTATCTATAAAAAGAAAAATTTAAAAAGAAAAACGAAATCAAATCATATAGTTACCTTCAATTAAATGTCTTGGTCTCCAAAATACATGAATAGCTAATTCAAATGAAAGACCAGATGGATATAAATCTCTATAATCATCAAAATATTGACTTAAATTATTATGTTTGATATAAAGACTAGAAAAATACAAAATATTTATATTGATGATATTAACCGAAGAAAAAAAAGATGTTTATACCGATCAAAAATTAAATCAAAATGACAATGTGTATCAACAATTGGTATAGATTCAGTTTTTATCAACCGTTTTGATATTTTAATCATTGTTTCACGTAATAGTGTTGATGTATGAAATTTATCCCAATATTCTGATTGATTTTTATTCAATATTGATTGTTGTTTTTGATTACTAGATAATAATTTTAATATATAAATACAAAAGGAATATAAAAAATAACTTACGATTCACAACAATCAAGTAATTCAGGCGGTATAAATGAATGAGATTCTTGTGTTGGAGTACGAACACATTCAAATTGAGGATATCGATTACTAATAGAAGATTTATTAATATTTGTTGTTGTAGAATGTGATTTATTATTATTGGTATTATCATTATTAGTAACGCTATAATGAAGATACTATATATTAAAGAAGAACGAGATGTTCTATTTTATTTACCCGAATACATCTGACGATTTAGAAACAGATTTCGATTCATTATTAGAAGTATTGCAAGAAGTAAGTATTTGACATATTCGTGTTAAATATTCTTGATTTATTATATGACTTGATGTATGAGTAGAAGAAGAAGATGATAATAATGAAGAAAATGATAATGAATCGATTAAAGGTACTGATGAAACTAATTGAGATTGTGAAACAATTGTTGATTCTTTTTCATTTGAATCTATTGATAAAAACTCAATGAATTAGAAAATACGCTAATCTGTCAGTTATTAATAATATATCGAAACCTCACATAATTTCATACCTGTATTATCGATGATAACAATACGTTTCTTGGATTGTGAAATGACTTGATTATCGTTTCTTTCTACAATAAATATTTCAAAGATTTTGATGCTTACAATAATAAAATTACCCTGATTTTGTTCTTTGTCATATGATATAGTTTGAGGTATAACAATACGTTTTAGTGGATTTAGAATATTATCTATATTTGATTGTTCGAGACTTTGTTGTTCATCGTGTTCTCTTTAAAAAAAGAAATGAAATTTTGAAAAAAACATATCAATAGCTATGCTAACTTTAAAGTAACAATTCGTTGAGATGAAAATGTTTTCGAATCATGTTCAATAAAAACATTACGATTTGGGGTTATTTGCAATTCTTTTCGTTTTTTCTTTTCAATTTCATCCGAATAATCATTTAAAAATTTACATTCATTTGATGTTATATTTTCAATAATAGTTGTTTTTAAATTTTTTAAACTATCCAAACATACTAATGGTCGTTTTCGTTCTTTATCTAATAATGATATTAGATCAGACATTATTCTAATTTTATCTATTTTGAAGTGGATATTCTTATAATTATAATAATCTTCTAAATATATATATATACACAAATCAGAATAATAATGACCACTACTTATCATAGATAGCGCTAAATACCGGTTTAATTTAATTCAAATAAGACTATTTATATTGATTTGTATGTGAATTAAATTTTGTGAACAATAGGTGTCTGCTATATTGGTTGATTATTTTGTTTTGGAAATACAAAGAGAATTAGATAGCATTTTCTTGTTTTTGCTTTATCAAAGAAATGCGATCTATAACAGAACATTTTATAATTGTATGACTAATTGATAGTAGAAGAATGCCGTAGAAAACATTTGAGTTAGCTTTCCCAAATTAAATTCTGAGAGTTCGATTAAGTATTGTTATTATTCTATTTATAATCTTACTTGATGGAACGTTGAATTTTATTCAACTCGACCTTCCCGAGCTGTATCTAACAGTGGCGGATTTAGGGGGGGGGGGAGAGCGATCACCCTCATCCCCCCCCCTTTGAAATTGTTTTTGGTTTTTTTACAGAAAAAATAAGTTCACGCTACTTCGATTGGGCCCAAAAATAGTTTTTAACCAAAATCGCCCCCCCCCCACTCCTCAGGTATCGCCCTTCCTTCCAAAATCCTAGATTCGCCACTGGTAGTTAGTAAAAAAACTTCTGCTGTTTGAATATCAATAACCTCCATTAGATAAGAATCTTCACACAAAAGAAATTATGAACTTTAACATTCGAACATGTAATACTGTTTACTAAATTTTCATTATTTATATTCTATGAGATATGTTATGAATTATACCATCTGAACAAGATTAATTACAAGACATTATCTTCCTTAACATCAGAATTTTTTCAGCTTCTTCAGATGACATCGTAGATCTAGACAAGATAGATTATTACTGTAACAACAGTCAAAATAACTTTTGATCTACAATAAATATCATTATTCTAATACGAATTGTACTTTAATATATAAACTATCTCACAACGCTGTGAATTAATCATTCTTTTGCACAATCAAAGGTAAATGTAATAAATATTAACAATACATTGTCAAGAAATCGTTTATTTTTTTAAAGATAAAGGAAGAGAAAAAAAAGAAATAAAACTTATTAACTATTTCCTTTGAACGGAAAGGAAAATAATTAAAAATGTCACTAATATTATATATATGGTTATATACAGTCATTTGTTCGGCCTTATTGTCATAAATAAAGTCTATGAATGAACAATATTTTCATTTTCGTCTTCATTTAATACTTGAAATGTTGGAATAAATATATCTTCATTATTTCCAACTGTAACTAAATCTCGATTATCACTATCATAATGAGCACGTATTAAATTAAATTTTTGATGATGATTATATGGATATTGTTGTTGGGTATTTTGTAAACTACTTTGTCGATGGCTTTTTTTATATATACTTAAATATAAATAAGATGTTATACTTGTTTTACGTGAAGAATTTGTTCCAAAACTTATTGAACGATGAATTTGAAGTAAACGTCGGCATGAACGACGAAATTTCGTTGATAAAATATTATAAATAATCTATTAACAAATTGAAGAAGAAAAAAAAGTAAATATGTATATTTTTTAATTTCTTTTCTTACCGGATTTGCTGTAAAATTAAGAAAAAAAA